CTTTCACGAGTACTGTATTTATTAACTTTCCCGACAACAGTAGCACTAGGTTCTACACGACTCCACTTAACACAGTTATAAGTGATGTAGCTGTAATTAATACATCACACAACTTTGTCACACTCAGTACTCACAATAAATTATACTTAAATAAAAACAGCTTTCTGTGGGAGAATTCCTGAAGGAGACTTCAGTTTAACTTGTCCGTGGTACGACTAGAAATTCTAGGCAATTTCAGACCAGTAACATCTTCGTTGGTATTGTCCATCCCAGTTGACACTCTGTTTCCTGATTGGTGCAAGTATACTGCGTCTGGTGAACTCACAAACTACTGTTTATGGCTGATATGACTGTTTCACCAGTAGTTTACGTCAGGAGAGGAGCTGCTGCCTGACGTATGAGAATTAATCTAGCGCCTTATGCTTGCGGATAGCCATTATACAGTATATCAGAAATACTTGACACTATCCTTGTATTTGTAGTCAACCATTCTCTCTTACTGCCTTACCAGATGCATTTTGTATGGGTCTTTCCCTTCCACGACCAAATTTCCCTGAAATTTAAAACGATCTACTAGCATCACACATCAACAGAACTTACATCCTCATAAACTGCTCGATACCAATACCATGCCTCCCCATTAAATTATGCACCTTCATGCCACTTGGATGTCCATTTCCTAACATCCAGCACATTTAGCACCCCATTCTTATCATGTCCTACAAGGATTTCGTACCTGCGTCATTTCGTACTAAGCTCTTTCGTACCTGAGTCATTCTGTACCCAAGAATCCTAAATGTTCGCTACCGACAGCTTATACTGCAGACAATGTATACGGGATACTAGTCCATATGAGTCAGCACCATTCCTGAATGTTTTTTTCTTTCTGAATCGTTATCGCTAGTTCAACTGTTACAACTATCAAAATACTCAGTCGTGTGTTTGTCCTCACTACATGACGTTGACTCACTTTACTCTTTGTATACAGTATTTATATACAAACAGTAAAATTAGTCGACGTCATGTTTTGTGTCACTTAATATTCTTTAAGCCACAATATTTTACAATTCTCTTCATAATTAAACTTCGGTCGTTATAATAGCGGTAGTAACACAGCATAAACTATTGTTGTCCGTCAGTGTGCTATTTCTCAGGTAATTAAAATCTCTGTTTTGATTCTAAGAAGTGGTCACATGTTAGTTTAGGTATATTTCTAAGACTTCGACATTAATCTTTATGCAATGAAGTCATGAAGTCGCAATTAATGAATCAAAAGGAGATTTTTGTTGTTGCTATTACGATATTACTGTGCTACGATAAAGATTGGTGTCGGTCGGGTGAACACCACTTTCACTAGAGCTGGTGGCCACGGAGGGAATGCATCACCCAGGGCAATGCTTGTGCTTACTGTATTTGTTTCCACACTCACTTCGCTTCCGCTCCGACGACGCCCCCCTCCCCCTTGCCCTCTCCGTTTGATCATCATTCAACCTCTCCTTCTCTCCACTCACGAGGGCCTTGATGTAGCATATCTTTGTGCGTGTATATACTTTTTTCATTCGGGTTCCCCTCTAACGCAGTATTTTCCTTGGAGAAATAGTATATAGTATTATTAACCAAATTCTTTTTTATAGTACTTGGGTCGATTTTTTTTGCTGTTGTTTATCAACTAAGTTTGATATTTTTAAAACACAAGCATGTAATGTTGAAAAATAGCTAGATGACTTTCCAACAAGAGTCCTGAGAATTTGAAGGCTAGTATAACACCTCTGGGTTCATAGAGCAGTGGTTCAAGGCTTCTGTTGGATCGTATCAGTCCAGGGGCTGTGGTTAAAGGCTCCTGTTGTTTATGTCAGCCATGAAACAGTGAATCAAGCTCCCGTTGGTTTATAAACTAACCCCATCTTTCATTTGTACACTTCGATCATAACTTTACGTCACTCAAATGAATGCACCCTTTCTTAATATAGTATATTGAAAAACTGTTGCTCAAGTGTCAGATTTGTATTAAAATAAAAATAACCTTTATAAAATCTTTATTTTCTTTTATACTTCATTCTAATGTCTGCACCACCTTTGGCTGACCCTGTATATATACAGCACAAACTCTGAGTCCGTAATATTTAAAAAAAAAATTGATGACCAGATTTTGTAATGACTCGTCACTATCTGTAATATGAAATAAATCACCTACAAACCGAATACTGAATATTTATTTGTTATTGACTTTATTCCTTAATTTTGACCAATAACTTCATTCATTAAAATATTCTTATACATTTTAATCAAGACAATAATAATTTTACTGTGTTTTACTCAGTCAAAGGCATCCTCAAATACCACAAAACATATTTATATTTTAGTTTATAAAATTGTTCACACCAAAGATACTCTCTTGTTCCCCTTCTTTTTTAAAATCCAATATGATCATTAGATAACTCATTCTTTTTTCCACTCTATTTGAAGTTATTTGAACAAAACTTTGTACCAATGGCTTACTTTATTAATTATCCTAAATTAGGTGCTCCTTAGGAACACCTAATTTGTGTTAGAAATTCTGCTGGAAACTGTTTAACCTCACACCCCTTAAGCAATTTTCATTTTGCTCACCTCTGCCTCAGCCTATTTCTAAAATTAGTATAGTGAGCTTATTTACTTGTTGTTTCTTATCTCTCTTCTATCATTATCATTCTTTTCAACTGTTTCCGAATCAGTGGACGGCAGGGATGATTATGAGGCGGTATACTTTGGCTTTAGCAAAGCCTTCGACAGACTCCCCCCAAGAAAGACTAATACGAAAAGTGGAGGCTCATGGAATTGGAGGCGATATTCTAAACTGTATTAGGGCGTGGTTACAGGACAGGAAACGGCGAGTAAGCATTAGCGGCACTAAATCCGATTGGAGTAACGTCACTAGTGGAGTACCCCAAGGCTCAGTACTTGGACCATTATTATTTATTATATGCATAAAAGACATAGATATAGGCGTAGACAGCAACAGAAGTAAATTTACTGATGACACTAAAATAGAGCGTGTAAATAAATCTGACGAGGACTCCGCAAAACTACAGGAAGATCGAAAAAAAATTTTTTTTCATGGTCTGGAAAATGGCAGATGAAATTTAATGTAGACAAACGTAAATTACTTAGTCTAGGTCAGTGTTTCTCAAACTGGGGGCCATGATCCCCAAGGGGGCCACGGCAATATTTTAGTGGGGCCATGGCGGGTAGTGTAAGTAGTATATGTTTGGAGATAATGTGGAAACTTTGATTCAACTTTTTTTTTGTTACTTTGCCTTGTTAGGGGAGAAATCGCTTTATTTTATTTTATTTTTTGTCATTGTGTGTAATCATAATACCCGTACGGTACAGTTTACACAGTATGGTGCAGCGGCTAGTTTTTCATTTCCAACGGATTAGCTCAGATTACACAATTCTAGTTCCTGTCAGCAGGGTGACGGGCGCTGGACTGGGTCACTGATCTCACATGTTCTGTACATGTCTGTGCGTCATCGTTTCACAAGTGGTGATCAGACCAAATGTGTCTCAGTCTGGCTCAAGATATCATTAGGAAAATATGTGAGTGTACTGTATGTGTATGTTTTATGTGTAATTGCATAAGCATTTTATGTATGTTTACATACAGTATGCATGGACTTCATGCATGTTTCTGTGTTTGACATTCGGATTATTGTCTCTTTTTTATTATTATTATAATTTGTAGTCTTTATCATTCGTCTTTTTCTGTGACATTCTGTTTTTTATAGAACTAGTCAACATTTAGAGAGAAAGAGAGAGAGAGAGAGAGAGAGAGAGAGAGATATTACAAGTTTTTAGTAAAACCAAGAGATTCATGATTGTCTTATATTTCTGTTTTTTATTATTATAATTTTTAGTCTTCATCATTCGTCTGTTTCTGTTTGTTTGTCATTGTTTTTTTTTAATTTCCTTAGAATTGTGATGGCTGCCAGTGTTGCTAGGAAGAGGAAGTACAATAATGGATACATTAACTATGGATTTACATCAATCCTCGCTGATGGCATCGAGAAACTTCAGTGTGTGTTGTGTTTCAAAGTGCTGGGGAATGATTCCATGAGGCCTAGTAAGCCGAAGCATCATCTGACGACAATCCACCCCCAGTATGCGGAGCCGGAGAGAGACCCCGATTTCTTCAAGCGCCATGGACAAGGTTTGAGAAAACAGACTGGATGAGAGTGGTGCCTTCCAACAACAGAACTTAAGTGTAGTTGAGGCATCATATGAGGTTTCCATTGAAATAGCAAAGAAGAAGAAGGCCCACACGATTGGTGAAATTTTAATTAAGCCGTGTGCTTTAAAGATGGTCAAGCGGGTTCTTGGAGAGGCAAGTGAACGTAAGATTCACCAGATTTCCTTGTCAGACAACACGGTGAAACGGAGAATTAGTGAAATGTCAGATGATATTATGGAACAAGTGTTACAGGAGATTAAATCGTCTTCAACTGGTATGTTTGCAATACAGTTGAATGAGTCAACGGATGTGAGTTCTTGTGCACAGCTACTCGTGTTTGTTAGTTATGTATTCTTGCGTGACATCAAGGATGAATATCTGTTCTGTACACAGCTTGAAACTACCACAACAGCTTTAGATGTGATGGGAAAATTGTTGTGGAGGCTGTACTGATGGGGCTCCGGTGATGCTGGGATCGAAATCGGGGTTACAGAAGCACGTCAAGGAAGTAACTCTGAATGCCAAAGGGGTTCATTGTATGATCCATCGTTTTGCACTGGCGTCGAAAACCCTCCCTGATGCCCTTTGCAAGATCCTGGAGGCAGTGGTAAAATGCGTCAACTTTGTGAAAGCAGGAGATTTGAACTCTTGCCTTTTCCAGAACGTCTGTAGAGGCATGGATTCAGAGCATGAAACTCTCCTCTTTTACTCCAAAGTGCGATGACTTTCCAAGGGTAATATTGTGAATCGAGTTTTCGAACTTCGGGGAGAACTTAAGTTGTTCCTGGAAATGAAAGGGAAGGATGATCTACTAAGTCACTTCAACGAGCAGCTAAACTGGCTGAATCTCAAGCTACAAGGCAAGGAAAGAAATGTGTTTCACCACATGGATTGTATTCGTCCATTTCATGACAAACTCCAGAACTGGCAAAGGAAAGTCAGTGCAGGAAATGTTGCCATGTTTGAGAATATCTCAACTGTTCTTGACGAGATTGAAGAGGATCATTTACTTGACCCATCACTCAAAAATGAAATAATTCAGCACTTGAAATCCTTGGAAAGTGAGCTCATAAGGTACTTCCCAGAATTCGAGGAGGAAGAAGGGAAATTGATGAGGAATCATTTCTCTGGCACTCTTGATATTGCTGCCATTTCCGACGATGGTCAGGATGAATTCTTTGATCTCAGGAACGAATCTGCTGCGAGAGACCTCTATGAAGAAAAATCTCTGACTGTATTCTGGTGCTCAATTATAATTATCAGTCATATTCAAAAGCTAGTAAGATCGCACTTCGAGTCCTCTTGCCAATTTTCTACTACTTATTTATGTGAATCTGGTTTCTCCACTCTTCTTCAAATAAAGAATAAAAGCCGAAACCGTTTACATGTGAACCCCGACATGTGATATGCTTTATCAGAGACTCGACCTAGAATCAGTCGACTGACTGAAAGGAAACAATGTCATCCATCCCATTGAACTGTAACAAAATATGCATTGTTTGATGATTGTAAACGTTAAAATAAAGGAAGAGAACCAAAACAGTTTATTTTCATCTTTATTTGTGAGGGGCTTGGGAGAGAACTGAAGGAGGGCCACAAGGATGTTGAGTGTTCCTCATGGGGGGAATGAAGTGAAAAAGTTTGAGAAACACTGGTCTAGGAGAAACCAGATATCAGATGAACAACGTTGTTATAGAGAAATCCGACTGTGATAAAGATTTAGGAGTAATGATAAGTGGGAATCTCAAACCAAGTCATCAATGTGTATTTGCTCTAAACAAGCTAACAAAGTTCATGGGTTCATACAAAGGAGTGTTATCCTAAAACTATATCTTATGCTTGTGAGACCTCACTTGGATTACGCGGTTCAGTTCTGGTCACCGTAATGTAGAATGGATAATAGAATCCCTAGAAAGAATTCAGAGAATGATACGACTAATTCCGGGCATTGGGAACCTTGAGTTAAGAGAGAGGTTAAAACATCTTAATTTGCACTCGCTAGAGATACGTAAAGTGAGGAGCGAAATGATCGAGGTGTATAAATGGAAGTCAGGGCTAAACAAATGTGATATAACAAAGGTACTCAAACTATCCAACCAGGAGCGAACTCGTAGCAATGGTTTTATATTTGACAAATTTAGATTTAGGAGCGAGATAGGCAAACATTGGTTTGGAAATAGAACAGTGGATAAATGGAACAAGTTACCAAACATCATTATTAACTTCAATACGCTGGATAGCTTCAAACATAGGTTGGATGGATACAGTATATGAGTGATAGGGGTTGGGTGTAAACAGCACTGCCCAATATGGGCCAATAGGCCCCTTTCAGTTTCCTCCATTCTTATGTTCTTATTGTACATTTTTTGTCTACCTTCTGTACACTTGTTTTCACTCATGTTGTTTGAAAGATCTTATCCTTTTTACTCTGTATTGTCCCACTGCATTTACGTCCTCTTTTCTAACTCATGCTTATTATTTTTCTATAAAAATCTCTAGCTAATTTTTTGACGAAAAATTATAAGTTTTACGTCATTATTTGGAGAAACGTGACATCACGTCCTAGAGATAAACTTCCAGGCAAAGAAACAAATGCAAGAGATTTTATCATTCTAGGATTTTTCTTTACAGATTTATCGCGAAAATTGGATTTTTGAACATCGATGACCATGACCTTGACCTCCCCCAAAGTTCAGTGTATACTGTATATTCAACATATTGTAGCGAATCCATGAAATTTGGCCAGGTTTGGTAATTTCAGTTTGACTTTAGGTAGTGCCTGAAGTGCCCCTACAGAACCCAGACGACAACTAACTCCCAAGAGAACTGAAAATAAATATATAAATTTATAGTTTCGAAGTATCTTGAGCATAAACCCGAAACAACAGACGTCCGATCTGGAGACCGAGACTTCAACATTTGAGATCGAAGGCCATATTGTCAGTCGTTACACCCACCCGACCAGTCGGGAACAAAGCTGCCATGCACAGGCCAACCGGCCTATTGCAGACTCCTTATTTTCTTATGCTATTGGGATCCTTGGAACATTGCATCGGGATGGGGTACCCGCCCGAGATAGCCCCAAAGAATATAAAACCTTTTTTCACCCTCCAACTATTTATATATTGAGATAGAATATATGTAGAAATGATAGAGAATGAGTTTCATGGTGACAGAAACTTTTGTTTCCATGTAGATTTAGAGATTGTCAGTTGTTTAAAAGTGTAAAATATTCCCGGCTGATCATGAGCGTGTACCGCGCGTAAACAACACCGCGCCGTGTTGTTGTGTCTGCTGACTTGCTGTAAACCAATCGTCGGCCATCCCAGTGTGGCCAACACAGGTGAAGTATGAACTTCAAAACACACCTCACAAACACCAGAGAATAATTATTTCTATATCCCATAGATATCTCATAACACCTTTATGTTCGTTATGTCTTATGATTTTTTTTTTTTTTGAGAGAGAAAAAATATTAGGGTAGTCAACCGATTTGGAAATATTGGTAGCCCTGTCCGGTACATAGCGATCCCGACCCATTATATTGCCAGAAGCACGTTCTTAAATAACCTCGCCCCGCACAAGCAAATGGTGCCCGATGGTCACGCACACTATCGGGCATGGCGACCGATATCTAAGAACCCAAAACCGAAACCGAGAACTGAAAAAGAGGTCTCGAGACCAACACCATTGGCAAAAACATGTACTCTGAACTGATGGTAAGATCAGATAATTTAGTCTTCTCCCCGTAAGTACGATTCATGTTATAGGTCACCACTACTTTCGTTCACAACTCAAGCAGTGTAAATTTCTATGTCTCTCAGGCATATAGCAGTGGAAAACCTATTTCTTAATAAACTGAAGGAAGGTAGTTTCTCCGCCCCTATACCTCTGGGTCTTTAAGATAAGGAACACATTTCGAAATTATGAGCTGTATCACACGTAGCATTAACGCTCTGGTCACCTGTGTTATTTACAATCCACAAATGGGTCTAACCTCAAAATCCTCCCACAATTTGCTTACCGTAACATATTCTAACCCCACGACCCTGCATTTCCCCCCTCCCACTTCCCCCGTTGGTTTACATCCTCTGACGTCACTGTTCACACACAATAGTGATCATTAATGGTATTAGAATCATGGAAAAGCTTTATTTCATAACTTCTCTACTGTTGGCATAACTAGAATATCATTTAATCGCTAAAATATATTCTAATTCACACACGCGCACACATACAAACACTGTTACTACTACTACTACTTTGCTGTCACTCGGAATCGAGTATGACGATCATCCAGTTATTAGACAATGATATGAGTTATTAGGAATGTTACCTTCGTTGGTGAGCTCTAAGGTAACTAGAGAGGCCGATACGGGACCGACAGTGTCGTCCACAGATGTTACACGTGTGGAGGGCTACATCTAGTGAGGGAGGGGCGGTGGCAGTGTCTTTTCGGCGTTGGCGCTTGTCTGCCTCGGTATGCAGTCGGGCTAACTCGAAAGTATTGACACCTCGTGTGGTACTCCTCCAAACGTTATTATGTGTTCGTCTCCCAGGTAAGGGGATCGATTTGGCACTTTTTTCAGGTTTGTCTTAAGAATATTCTAATATCTTTTCAGTTACGTTTACTATTCGTTATATGACTGAGAAGTAGCTGTTTTGGCAGTGGATTGTCGTCCATGCGGGTAACATGGCCAGTCCAACGTAGTTGTTCATGTATAATGGTAGTCTCGATGCTCCTACAATTGGAGTCAGCCAGAATAATGGCATTTCTCTTGTCTTCCCAGCGAATTCGGAGGATAGAACGTAGACTACGGTGGTGAAAGTTTTCACGTGCCTTGAGGTGCCTCTTGTATGTGATCCATATCTCACTGCCATATAGCAGCGTGGGGAGGCCACTGCTCGATTTACGTGCAACTTTGTAGATAATTTCATCTCCCTACAGCTGAAGACACGGGTACGGAGTTTGCCAAAGGCTAGAGATGCACGCACAGGAAAAAGAGAAGCTTTCGTCTTTATTCAAGACATCTTCAGAGGCAACTGAATGACAAAGACTGAGAGAGGCTTATGTACACAGGGTGACCTTACAAAACATGAGGTCAGGTCAAAAGCATGACATCCACACACCAACCACCACAGCAAACAAAAGAAGAGCTTATAAGAACGGGCGACATAACTAGTCATGTCAAGTCAGGTAAAAACTATGAGACCCACTCATCATCTGTCCTACATCTGCCTCTGAAGATGTCTTGAATAAAGACGAAAGCTAAGGTTTTCCTTATATAAATATGGAAATTACGAGGTTGTTGGTTGCTGATACCGAAAGCTTTAGTTTGGGCTTCTCAGGAGGTTATCGAACACACCCGCGCGCTAGGACGCACCTACACCGTGCGCCTTAGTGAAGGTGCGCCTTAGTGAGTGGGTGTGATCGATAAGCATGGTATATCAAGTTTATTGTCAGTGCACACCAATATTTACTTCTACATCTTCCAAGTATATACCGCCTACACGCAGATAAAAAAATAGGCAGGGAATTAATTTACTAACAAAAAATAATACAACAATCAATGGGTTTATAATTTGATAGATAAATACAATTATGGGTCAACAGTGTTAACACTTACATATGTACTTAGGAGTACGTAGTACATACACAGGCTAATGTGTAAACAAAGGATTGTCACTTTCCAGGCGTCGTGCTCCTAGTGTGTGGGTACAATCTCCTAAAAATAGAGGGAGTGAGTGAGTGTGTGGTGTACGTGGTGGTGGTGGCTGTTGCCTGCGGTATGGGCGTGGCCGCGGGGACGATTTCATATGTTCTCTCACAACTTTACTCATCTATTGCTAAACACTAGCTACACAATGGTGAGGAGGCCAGTGTAGCATGACACTTTGTTGTCGTAATAACATACCTGTACAGTTTAACTTGATCATCATTAACATTACAGGAAATTAATTTTATATATATATATATATATATATATATATATATATATATATATATATATATATATATATATATATATATATATATATATATATATATATATATATATATATATATATATATATATATATATAGGCATTAGCTTTCAACTAGGCATGGTAGTATTGTTTACAGGCTGCTTTCGTCCCCTGAATTATGACGAGTACCACATCACGCAGGCCACTCGCCCATACACAACCTCTACACTAACCACCACGACCACATTCCACCACCACCACCGCTCTACACAAACCACCACCAGCACCATCACCTCCACCACCACCATCACC